CAAAAGTGTTGTCACGCTGCTTCACTTGATGGGATTCTTCTTCAGTCACAGGCAAGCTGCCTCCCATCTGCTTCCTTAGTACTACAGACTTTACAAGTCTGAGACGTTCTCGTCCTCCTCCTGATGGAATGGCCCAACAGATTTCTGCAGGACTCTCATGTCTTTTGGAACTTCACCAGCCTTTTCCTCTTCAGCTCACTATAGTTTCTACAGTTTTTATGTAAATGTGTGCAGTTTGCTGTATGTACAGTCAGAGCCTTTGGCCTTCAGGTTGTTTCCACAACTGTAGCTCTCATCCCTGCATGTCAAAACTAGCCAAGCGTAGACAGGTGGCATTAAAATGTATACTTGTACAATGATAACCTGATCACAGCTGCAGTCATATTTATTAGTGGCGTGTATTGTTGTGTCATGCCATCTCTACGATCAGTTCATTGAAATTACTGCCAACATTTTTTCATATGCTTCTAGTGGAATCGAGCTGCAGAGATAGTTTGGATTTTATTTGTTAAGGTTTTGTATGGGGTATTCATATGGGTAGAGTAGCCATAGACTGTCCTTAATTTAAAGTATTATTACATTATAACAATTATTTAATTGTAATTAAAGTCATTATAGTCGTCATTATACAGTAGCTTCACAAGTACGAGTAACCAGTGGAAAAACATAAACAAGCGTATATGAGGGAGATGAGGGTTAGCTGAGCATTTTAAGGCATGACATACTGTTGGTACACGGTGTTGAACAGTCTTTATGCGATGTTCTGCCCTCTGTCAGCTCTGTGTCAGTGCAGGGCTCTGATTTTCTGACCTCAAATTCAAAACCTGAGCTCTGTGTGGTTTAAAAGCATGAGCTACTAGAACTGTTTGAAAAAGTAAACACCATCAAACTAATGGGAACATGTTGCTTCTTCAGCGTTGAGGAGTCTGTTTGTGTAGTGCTGTAGTGTACTGGTGCTTTTTGCCATTCACTGGGGTACTGACGTACAGTGAAATGACGTATGTACTGTAGCCAGAGAGTCAGAACAGACTGAGGATCAGTAGACCCTCAGGCTTTGACCTTTAAGCACAAACTAATGGGGCATGCCAGCAGCTACAAAACTATGCCTATGACTATACAGTATACATGGGCACATATATACAGTGGTAGTAAAAGGTTCCTCTGTTGAAATCTATCTTGAAGAAATGTCCACTAAATTCATCCTTTTTTAATTATAAATGGTACTTTTCTTGCTATGAGAGATCTAGAAAAAGTATTCTTAAGTCACCCATGCATCTCAGTTTAGCTGCGAAATCGGAAACATCTCATCTGAAGTAATTGTTTCTCAGTTAAGGCCAGTTTCTATTGGGACTTAAAGACCAAGCATTCCATCAGTGAGAGAGATTCTCCACAGCCCCTGAACAGACATCTATGATCATTTCCTAAATGAAAAGATCCCTCCAGACTGATGCCTCAATCTGTTTCCCAATCTCATTTCTAATTTATCTTACTCTGCCCCAACAAACTCAGCACTGTGTAGTGCAGTTTGACTTTAGTCCTTCGAATCTGCAGTGGACGAAGAAACCAGGGAAGAGTGGTTTGGCATGGATCCCATTCCCACTTCTATCCCCAGTAAAGTGCCCTTCAATTGTCTTCTATTCAAGTTGTGCATCATGCATGAGCTTAAAATATATGAGTTTCTGTGTTCCAGAAAGTGTAATAAGTCCTGGTGGCCTCCTGATATAGCGTTGACTGTACATCATCATTCACTCTTTTTACCTAAGAGATTATCACAGAACGGCGCACTCAGAAACTGGCATGTTAAAGCCCCCCACCTCTTCTACAGGAGGAAGACCCCCACACTGAAGAAAGACACAAAACAAGCACATGCTGCCATTTAGTTTGCAATTGTGAGTCTCTTTATGTGTCTAATGATATTTTGCATCTCTTTGATTTTGAACCTCTGTAGATTTTTTGTGTTTCTCTACTTCTTTTGCATCTCTTTGTGGTCATTTTTCTTCTCTTGTTAGAAATATCCTGTCTCTTTTGTGTTTTGTAGCTCACTGTGTCTCTCCTTGTGGTTGTTTTGTAGGTCTTTTTTGTCTCTGATGACATTCTGCCTTTGTAGATGTTTTGCATATCTTGTGTCAGAGTCCTCACTTTTTCGATTGTTAAAACTTGGTTTTAAGGTTCAGGTCAGAATTAGTTGTTAGGCATTTAGTTCTGATGATTAAGGTTAGAGTAAGGGGCTAGGGAATGCATTATGCCAATAAGTGCCCTCACAAAGATGGAAGTGTGTGTGTGTGTGTGTGTACAGTTTTTCTTGGCATTTTATTGCAAAAGGTCTCAGCACTTTTGTGTTTGCTGATTCTGCTGAAAAAAATCAAAACTATCGACAGTGGTGTAACTGTTTTTACAGCTGTAACAAAGACTGTGGATGTTCAGAGCGGAGCGGTGCAGCTATAGACCATTTTGAATGGTGTGGCCAAAGAGCATGACATTTTGCACTGCTTCCTCTTCCAAAACTGGCTTACATACAGCCGGTTCCATCTGCTGCATTGCACTATTACACTCAACCAGACGGACAGTGGTTTCATTTTCAGTTCATCCTGCATTTATATTTGCCAATGACTCAGTCAGTTTTTGTTTTTCTTTTTTAGTTTTGCCTTAACTGCCTACTCGGCAAATTCTGTTCTGGGGTTTGGTACTCAGGATGGCCACTCGGATATCAGAGAATGACAAGAGACCAGGGATGTTCGAGGTCACCACTAACATTCTGTTGGCAGTTAAAATACTAAACTTGAGTTATAGCGTAACCAGCTCAGTTCTGTGTGAGTTCTGTGCATCTGTGCATCTAAATGCGTGAAGACATTTCTTATTCTTCATCTTTACTATGTAAAGTGTCCTGGAATGTTTTTTGTTGTGAATAAATCAAATTGAACTGAATTAGTTCACTTCTTCAAACAGACTAGTAAATAAGCTATGGATATCAGGACATTCTCTATAAAAGGTATCATAATATTTAGAAGGCAGAAGTACCATGATGTTGTGGGGGGTGGGTGTCATTTTGACTCAGGAGAAGGCTGTTTGGCTGTTCAAGCAGAGGTGGTCCAATCAGCCAAGACTTATATAGGTCATAAAGGTCATTTAAGGATGTGCCAGCAAAAGAACTGTACATGATACTAGACAAAGTCAGAGACAATTACAAAAGAGGAAAAAATCAAGTAATATTTTGTAATTATCATGTACATAGTTCTATATATTGTGTCATATCTCCTTTTTTCATATTTCGGTATATTTGTGGCTTTTTTGTGATATTTCCTCAGAGCAGTAATAAGAGTTTTGGGACTTTCCTTCAGGTTGGTGGACTGGAACAACTTCCAGGCCGAGCGAGAGTCGAGGAGCGAGGAACGACCTAATAACTGTGATGTACTCTCTCTTGTTATTAAGGTTGTTGGACTTGTTGAAATGTTCTGAGAAATTTTCCAGTACAAGGAGAGTGTGTACCGTGCGATAGTGGTGCTCGGCTGCCGCTCCTGTAGGCTTCTTCTGAAACTGTTTATCAGACAGTCGGATAGTTTCAGAAACTCCCTCCCCATGCCTGTCCAACACTGGATTTGAACGTTAACAAAATGACAAACTAATTACTTCTGTTTTAGCACAATCTTTAACATATGAACTGCATTAAAGTTTGACTGAATGAATCTTCTCCTCCCAAACCCCGACTGATGGATCTATAGACAGTAAACTATAGAGACAGAATGAGAAACACACTGTGAGATGCCTGGTTGCACCTTGTGGACAATTATTTGTGAATGTATCATCTACATTCAGAAGCAAGCTTCTACGTGAATATTGGTTTTTTTGTTTGTTTTGTTTGGGGGGGGGGTGCATTGAATACTTGTATTGTTAATGTGTCATCCACTCTTTTTGTATGCTTGCTGCCATCAACTGCCACCAGATGAATACCTAAAATATCAAAGAGAATTTCTAATTGTTTTCACCCTGTCAGTCAGATATGTATCAGGGACATACAGTGCTCTATAGCACCGCAGCACACAGCAGCATCTGAATATTAACATCAAGGTTATGCCTTTCCACACAACATATGTTTAAGCGCTTGTGAGATTGATGAACAAAGGTATCTTCTTACTGAATTTCTGAGGGAAGAGAGATCCACAATGCAAAATAAGAGTGCTCAGATGCTGTTTGATGTTTGACCTCATTCTCCCATAAATTTCAGATGGCACTTGTCAGAGTATGGGCTGTGTGCAGTCGGTACTGAGAAGCTCGAGTTCCTTCTCTGACAATTGAAATAATAAAAGGAAAACAGAGACAGTGTTTGATAGAGTTCTAATGTTCACTTCACACAAGCAACAAGAGACAGATGTGATAAAATCTAGCATACACCCAGATACACACAAATAAGTGTCCAGAGGCACTCGTATAATCTTGTGTCCAAGCATCAAAGTCTTCAATGTGGACTCTGTAGTGTTATCAGACAGGGCACACCGTGAGTGTATGGCTATTGCATAAGCCTGCGGTGAAATGAGCCCTGATTCAACAGTGTCAAAGATTCTGTAACATAGGTGTTATACAAGTGACTGGAATATGGATGAGTGGGACACCGCCATGATTGAAATGTGCTAAAGGGGACCGGCGCCTTTGTGCTCCCCTCCAAGGTGTGGGAGAGGAGGAAGAGTGAGAGAAGGTAGGGCAGAGAGAGAAGAGTAAAGTAGACAACAAGGTGGAGTTACTTGCTGATACTTTGCTGGCCTGAGCCTTCACGCAAGTTGCCCTCAAGCACTGGTTCTCAGATTATTTTAACACAATTTGCAATTTTGCATGGCAGAGTCTTATCCTCAGCTCTGTGCCTTTCACTGTGTGTGCTAGTCCATGTGGGTGTGTGTCTACAGCAAAATACGCTCAGGTTTTCTTATCAGTTAATAAGCGAAGCAGGACATGGTTGTATGGATCATAACACACATAAACGCTGACAGGTTCCTTTGTGTCTCTTTCAGGAAACCTCCTCCTGCTCAGATCGAGGCTTCTGAGAGATGAGCTGCCAATGTAAGCCCTATCCCTGACCTCAGCACTTAGCTGGTAGTATTGCTTTTTAATTAAGCCAAATAAAAGTTAGAATTTAGTACACAAACAGTCATATCAACAACATAAGTCAACATGCTCTGTTAATTGCTATTCCATCATGCTGCTCACAGTGATAGCACATCAAAGAATGACTCACTGCAGGACGATGAAATTCAAATTTCAAACACAACCCTGCCTACTTCTGATTTGTAGGTTGTCATCCCGAGCACAAGCAGGGCTTAAGGATGTGAGACTTCCAAGCAAGTTCTCCATAAGCTTCAGTGCTTGCATTTACAGGCTGGTTTTGTTTGTTTTTGTGGCTTTTAGACTAGAGATGCAGTCAGTCCAAGCTGCTTATAGTAAAGACAGGACACTGCAGCTTTTAGAGAATCACTGTGGATAAGACTGTGACATGTTTATAAAAAAAATGTTTTTACAGTGGATTCACTTTAAAATTGATTTATATTTATATTTTGTTACTTGGTGGCTGCACTGTTAGCTGCATATGTTAACAGTATTAACAGTTTCCTAAATAAAGAGGCACATAGCATCATTTTGGCCACATGGCAAATTTAGATTTCACTCCCTGTAGCCCTGTTGTGGTTTCCACTAATGTCCAGCTCTTCAGCAGCTAATGCTCCACTGTGTTCACCACTCATTAATGTTGTCCACTGTATAATACCAAGCAGATAGTGCACAGTGGGTTTATTAGAGCCTTTTGCATGTAAAGAGCTCCCTGCAGTGATTAAAAGAGGCTGAAAAGCTCCATAGCACTGAGAGAATCTGCAGAGGTGGGTGATACTTCTTTGTGAGTTTGTCAACATGAGTGAGCCCATTCTCATTACATATTGTCCCACTGTAAATATAAAGTTATTGATTAAAGCATCTTTAATGTCTGATTTTCATAAAACTAATTTTAAAAACCTGCCAGTGCAGTAAGAATAAAATGTTCCAATACAGATGTACTTCTTTCAACTAAAGATGACAGAGTTATTTAGTCTTGTGTAATTCTAAAATGCAATAATATAATTACGATGTGAAACTTTATACTCTGCATCTGCAGAATTGCATATGGAAGGAGTGAATATGTTTATTAGGTTCTCACTAAATGTCAGTGAACACAACTTGTAAAAATCCCAGCTATAAACATGTGGCTCTGTCTCATGTGAGTGGCTGTCTTATGGTGCCTTACAGTGCTGTGTCAGATTCGGTTTAAGGTTTAAACTCTCAAACATAACCACTTCTCACATACTGCCGCATGTTCTGTCTTTCATTTCTGCACCCACACCTACACACACAAGATTCCATCTTTGTAAATTCTCTCACATATTTATATCCACACTTCCAATATCACAGTTACACACATACACTCAGAGAGAGTTCCTCACATTTCTACACCCATGCACAGACACCTCACCAGACCCATACATAGACACACATATTGTGGGTTTTCTGCAGAAACAGGGGCTTTGCTAGCCATGTTGCTGTGGTGAGGAGATAACAGGAAGCTCCAGTCACAGCTCTCCACTCAATCCTTTCCATAAGGTATCAGATGGGAGTCTCCCTATGGTGGAGGATGAGAGGATGTAGCTGGCTTTACATCTACAATAGTCCATACTACAGGTATTAGAATTGGATATAGAAGTTGGATTTGATACCAGATTTTGTCCACAAAAGGTGTACTGTCACTTGATAAATTAATCATACAAGTTTCACAGTCCCATGGTAATTTATGTTTTCCTTTTTAGGTCAAAGTTACATACACAGCATTTGCAAAGTGATAATCAGCTTTGCAGCGGAAAGGAACAGGGTACACAACCAAAATATTGAAGCACTGTGATCAAAGCTGAGCTCACTCTGTGGCTGAGAGCGGAAAGAGGAGAGAAGAGCTGCTAACGACAGCTGAGGGTGACACATTACTCTCTCCTATAAGAGAAGGAGAACGTGTCAGTTCCCACACTGTGGTACCTATTTTGTCTCATCATATACTTGCAGTTTAAAGTGCTCATCCCACGCTGTTAATAAGCGTCTTGTGTGTGCAGATTAGGACATTGCAAAAGTGTTCATACTGCCCTACACATTTAATATAAACTGGGGATCACTTGTGAAGAGTACAGAGTTGTTTCATCCCATTTACTGCTGCCTTTAATTTTCGAATTTAAAATGTGACATGAAATACCTTAGTCCTAACTTTTGTAATTTATGACACCTGAAAAAGCAAAAATGAGGCTGTGGTTTCCTCCAGAGATGAAATGCACTGCTACCTCTAGCGTCTGTGTATTTTTAGATGAGTCACAACAGAGAAAACATTTGTTTAATGGATATCTTCTAATATATGAGGACAGACTCGCTTGCAAACACACAGCCCACTCACACTGTGAACTGAACATGTAAAAAATTCATTAATGTCACTGCATGTTAATATGTCAAGGTCAACATCCTCTCTGCCTCAGAAATCCCATCTGCAAAGACCCACTGCTTCAGTGCAGTTTAACAAGGTAACGAGTCTCAGTGGTGATATTCGAGCCACAGTGGGAAGGAAACCTCCTGAGAGACTCTTGATTAAGCTGATAAAGTAGCAAAAGTGCCTCTAATTTATAAATCACACCCTGAAATAACACAACAAAATGGCAGACCTTTATTTCACCCTTCACAGCTTTTAAATACATTAATACAGTGTTGAATTGTGATTCCTTTTTTTGTTTTGTGTGCAGAAATGGAGAAAAGGCAGTTTTATTTCTGTCCATTCATTGTCATTGCACAATGCAGTTCATTTCAGCACATAAACAGATTATGATGAAATATTAACATGTAACAAATAGCAAGCCCTGCTGCTTTTTGAACTCTCTTTCTCTCAGGGAGTGTGTCAAATTCACATCACCACAGGTATTTAAAGATGAGCAGAGTCATTTCTCCTTCCCCCCAACAGAAGCAGGAGGATTCACAGTTTGATCTCATGGCAGAATGCATTTTGTTTCCGTTCTTTTGTTTGTGATTTTGAGACTGGTTGCACCATGTAAAGAAGTGAATAGAAAGAGAGGATAAAGCTACACTAACACACTTTGAAAATACCTGTAATACAGTCTTTCTTTGGTGGAAACCAGACACAAATACAATACAAAATGTAGCCCAACTTATAGCAATCTGCCCACATGAGTTTTTATGATAAAGAAATTGTAGCCCTATTTGTAACACTGTCTGAAAGCTGGAAGAAATGTCTGAACATGAAATGTAGATTTTTATAGGTTTAAAATGTGTTATATAATACTAAAGTCAATGGCAACACTATCGTGTTTTTAAACCTTGTTTCTTAATTATTTGTATTTGCCTAATATTGGTTCATGACCAAATACCTATTCAAGTTTTTACAGTCCCCATCAGCTTCAGCTGTACTTTGTGTTTAGTGCTAATTAGCAGATGCTGGCCTACTGACACCCCAAGATACCTGCTAAATATGAGCATGTCATCATTGTCTTTGTGGACATACCACCATGTTTACATTAGTGTTTAACTCTGTGCCTAATTACATCTTCAATGGGCAGCTAGTGTTGCTGCAGACTCTTAGTCCTATTTACATCTAGAGAGCAAAAATATTTCCAAAAAAATTGCAGCCTGATATGTTGTCAGTTTTTAAAGTTACATCTAACCTGCTAGAAAACAATATCCTACTTGCATAGCCAGCAGAAGCAGAGCAACACTGTCATCCCACTGGACCAGTGTGTTTCTCCAAGGCTTTTTGAAAATAAAATCGTTCCTAGCTTGCAAAATGCTCAGCTTTGTTCACTGAGCTGTTGTTTTCACCCTGTACATGCTTCCCCTTGGGCACAAGAACAGGCTTCTAACTTCATAAAACAGTTACACTCTTGATATCCAGCTGCACATTTCTTTTAACTGTCGAAATATGACTGAGTTATCCATACTAAATTGGATAGAAAATAACTTTTTGCAGCTTAACAGTAACCAAACAGAGGTCCTTATCTGTGCCTCTCCTGGTCTTATTCCTAAGGTGCAGGAATACCTTGGGTCTTTTTCTTAACGTGTGAAATCTGCAGTCAGAAATCTTGGGGTCACGTTTTACCAAGTGTTGACCCTAGAGCAATAGCTAAAGTGTTTGACTCGTCCCTGCTTCTTTCAGCTGAGGGATATTGCTGAACTCAGACCCATTGTGTCTCAACCCAAATCCAAGATGGAAATGATCATTCATGCTTTTGTCTCATCGCGATTAGACCACTGTTAATTCACTATTCACTTGTCTCAGTAAAAAAAAAAAGTCTTTGGATCATTTATAAGTGGTCCAGAATGCTGCAGCCAGGCTTCTGACCAAGTTATCAAAGTGAGATCACATTACACCCTGTTTTGATCTCTCTACATTAGCTCCCTAACAAATTCAGCATTCACTTCAAGGTCCTTGTACTCACATTCAGATCTACTATAGCCTTATATAGTGACTGTGCAATGACTACAATATGTAGCCTGAGGGTCTTAGTTCTGTGTGATTTTATAAAACCATATATATGTACCATCTCTGCTTGTCCTCCTGGCTTTACAGCTGTTGGCAGGACAGCAGTTCATCCCCAGGTAGTTAATGGGCTGATAGATTGACAGACGGCCATTAGGGTATTACTGTGATGTCCCTGAATGCAGGGTTGACCCACTTGGCATCCAGAGGGGACTGCTGACCTCTCTCCCTGTCACATAGCCACTCCTTACATCCCCACTGGAAGCGGCTTTTCACCCTTTCCTTCCACAGCTAAAAATCTCATTGCACTGCTGCTGCTGCTTTGTCTTTGAGGGTCTAAGCTTTGTCGATGTGTTAGACTGAACTATGGCTTTTGTGTGTCAGGCCAAGGGCATGTTGTAGTGGCTGAGGCTTATCCTGGTGGGATTTGTAGCTGCATTGTGGTTGTTCATAGCAAGCTGTGGGTGACTGCTCATAGCTCATACACATGCACAGGACATCACAGAGCTGAGGTTCACGAATAAGATTTCAGAGCTTTACATAAAGCCAGCTGGTC